GTTATTCACAGAACTTACCGTTACATGTTATATGAAGAGAAAATTCGGGATGTATTCCTTCTCGCATTTAATGTTCCGAATTACATTACATGTAATGATGATACCCGAAAATACCGGGCACTTCCGTCCCAGCTGGTGCACATCAACAAAATTTACCCTAGATGCGGATGATTTAATCGAAATATTTACAAATCGGGGGCATATAAAAATTAAATGGAAATATGAAAAGAAAGAAGAATGTATAACGAATTTATTGATGTATGCATATTCCATGTTTTCTTATTCTTTCGATAAATAATCAGGCGAAGTTTAAGCGAGGTGAGGCAGACGATGAGAAAAGAGTTGCAAGCCTTCTCTTTTTTTATGTATCAGTCGAAAACGGTATATTTAAAAACAGCATATAGAGACAAAAGAGTTACATTATTGATAACATATAGTGCATATTAGAATACAAAAATAGGAAAAAGGTGAATCGACTCTATATTTAAAAAAAAAAAATGGAAAAGGGGGGGGGGTCCAGACCCCAAGTGCCTGTGTTTTTTATAAATGAAAGTATCAACAACACATTCGTACACTTAATTTTTACATTATGTTAATGCCAATATGAATAGATTTTATTGTTTTCATATTCTTTTAAATATCTACAGAAGATTCTTGTTATAGAAAATTAAAATATTTATAGTTTTATTAACAAATAATCAAGTACACAGATACGGTACACGCCAAACAAAATGAGGTGCTGATCATAATAAATTGCATATGCATGTTTTCTCATCGGCCTTTCCCCAAATACCTTATAGTTTTACCAACAACTCCTTCTGTTCTGTGTGATATACAGATATCACAGATTTCCACTGTCCTCATACATTCAATCGTTCTTGAGACTTGACATGTTCAACATTAAATATATCATATTTGCAAAACAGGATTGTTTAAATCTGTAAAATATTCTACTGAAAAGCCTAGGCCTGAACAGTTTTAAGATTTAACATTTCCTTAGCACTGTTATTCTCTAAAGTCTTTGGACGACTTTTTTTTTTTTAATTGCAAAATCACATACATCTGGAGATGGTTATTTAAAACTTGACCATGTGTCATTTTCTTCGTCTGTTTTTACTTGGTTAAAATCTCTTTAAAAACTTGCCCATGCCAGTGATGGTATCTAGATGTGTTTATATGTTATTTTTGTTTTTCTGCCTTCTCATTACTGACAAATTATCTTTTCCTTACATATTTAAACTGCTTTCATTGCCGATATTTCTCCCTTCTTCACATAGTTTTTTTGCTATAAATAGCGCCACGCGACTTTTAATACAGACGGGAGATAACTCTTAAATTTTGACCCAGATTCTTGCTGAATAAAAATACATGAAAATAATACGTTTAGCACCGAAAAAGCAAAATAAAAAACAACGGGGCGGGGCACTTTGAGAGGGGCGGGCGGGGATGAGAATCTAAAGATTAATTTTACCTGGCCTAATATGACAAACGGGATGACTTCAATTTTTCCTTCGTCAACGTTTCCTATTTATATTTATTCCCCTATTTATTTCATATTTCCTACATAAGGTGTCAATGTTGTGATTCGATCGATACGCAGAAGCATGTTTTGATTAATGAATGCGACCAATTTTTAAACAGAGACATGATTTAATGTTACAGGATTTTTGTTTATCTCGTTTTTTCTAAGTCAGTATTTCGCAAATTCTATGGTCTTTATAATGACATTGTTTGCTAATACAATCTCTCATTGGTCGTATTTTCACCGACATACATCTCACTTGATTATACAGATTATACAGGTTTAGGACGGGTGAGACAGGTCGACAGGGGATGCTTACTTTTCCTTGGCACATGACCCCCCCCCACCCCCCCACCCCTTGGTGTTTCCAAGGGCACGTGTTTTCCCCAGTTCAGGATTCGTATTCTTATACTGGATTTCTGATAATGATCACTCTTCGTTATTTTAACCTTTTACATTATTCTCACTTCATAACAAGCAAGATATTCGAAATCCAGAGAGTTTACTGAAATTATACAAGTCAAGATTATTGATAATTGTTTCGATAGTACATTATTTTTCACTTTATGTTTATTTTGAAATGTATTCAATATAATCTTAGAATTTATATTAATCCATCCTGTGTGTAAATTTCACTGAAATGAATCTAATTTTGGAACTGCAATAATAGAGTAACAGGAAGAACTCGATACAATAAAAGTTGCCATAAATGATAAGAAAGTAAAGTCATTGTTTCTGATTTAAGAAAGTGCAGTAAACAAAAAACTTAAGTTACTGCGTTTGAAGAATTGTTCGAGAAATATTTTAGCGATGGCCAAATTTGTCGATGATAATTACTGGGTAAATCGTGCTCATGAATAGGCATTGGAAAGTAAGTGTTCTAGATCGGCCTAATAACATTAGGTAACAATGAGTAATCAGTGATTAAACTCTCAACAACCGGGCTGTTTGTACGTTTTTATACCCTCGTATCGAAGATTCGGGGGTATATAATTTTTGCCCTGTTCGTGCGTCCGTCTGTTTGTTTGTCTGTTTATCTGTCTGTTTGTCCGCAAAAACTTTAACATTGCTCATAACTTTCGAGTGCATGGTTGGAGCTATAGCTTGTATATTTCACATGTGTATTCCTTGTGGCAAGATCTTGAACCCCCCCCCCCCCCGCTTTACTTTAAAAAGCGTTGCTAAGGGCCGGACTTCTATGCAACCTACGGATTGGAAAGTATCCGCTGACCATCCAAGTTTACAACTCTATCTCATGCTTATATTTGCGAACTAGACAAACGCGTAAAGAAATGATCAAAACATTACATTCTTTTCTTGTATGAAATAATACAAAATAATTCGACTTGACATCATTCTACTTGTTTGTGCTATGTTATGAATATTGATGAGCTAGCAACCAGTGAGAATCTAGGTCATCATTTGAATGAAATAATACAAAAAATTCGACTTGACATCATTCTACTTGTTTGTGCTATGTTATGAATATTGATGAGCTAGCAACCAGTGAGAATCTAGGTCATCATTTGAAAGACGTTAATAATGCCACGCCTTCGTTTTTCCATGTTTCATTTGTTAATCCTGTATCTCATACCTTAGAATTTGAGACAGAGGTGGAAGGGTTTTCTGCAAAGTTTAGGTCGTATATTTTACCTAAAATTGTTGAAGTTGCTGTAAAGTGATTATTGCCATTTTTCATTCTGCATATTGCTCTACAAGAATGCGCGGTGCAGCTTTTTGGTCCGTGCAGCTTCTGATCAGTCTAAATCTGATTCGTTCGTCTCTTAATACTTTGTCAGATCTTGCCGGGTACAAAAAGCAATTTGATGCGTCTCCAATTTTTGCAGAGATGAAGATCTCCCTTGGTTTATGAAGTGTGATAGTCAGTCCTTTCTTCCACTAATTAATTATTTTCTGTGCTTTTCATAGTTTGTTTAACAGTCTATATATATATTCCTCTTTTTCTTGTCCTAAAGTCCTCAATGCCTCAATTAGTATTTCGTCAATTCCTTTATTTCACGAAATTCAGCCAGAAGTTCTTTTGCATTCGCTTCCCCAGGTGCATTATGCAGATACACAATGCCTTTCCATTTCCTTCTTTCTGTTATTGTTGTCTTGACATTCTTTGCATTCATGTCACACTTTGTTTTTATGTGTTGTTTTGGGATTTCTTTACCATCGTAGTGCACACAACTCTTCATTGATTTACAATTTAGAAACGATATACTGCGGAATTGAATTGCGTTATGAAACCTCAAGCGGGAGTGGGGGTGTGTATAGTGAGGGGTGTCCGTCTGTCCATCCGTCTAGATGATCGTCAGTCCGTCCACTACGCTTTGGGGTACTATCTCTTATCCGCAACTCCTCTTTTACCACTGAATTAAATTTAATGAGACTTTCACAGAATCTTTGTTACATAGTGCCATTGTGCACCTTCTATTTTAATTTTTGATTCGACACTTTTTTCGGATCTCCGATAGCAAAACGTGGACTTTGCCATTATTATCATATGAGAGGCGGGGGTATCATTTTGTGAGCTCAGTGCTTACAGTAGCTCTGGTTTTATAATGAGATGTATAAGATGGCTTTAACAGAACTTAGTTGTAACCAAAATATATTACAAAACGACTAAGAATGATTAATACTACAGTAAATCGATCGGTATGTGGGTCTTAGTATAGCAATGTCACCATTTTGCTTTAGCGGCAGCCATCTCGAAAATGGCGGAAATTGATATGGCCAACGATGGTTTTAGAAACAGTATTATCTGACAGATGATTATGCAAAATTTCATGCTTGCCTCCACAAGTGAAATATTTGGGTGAAACTTTACTTCAGATCTGATTGCAATATTGACGATGAAGAGAAAAAAAATGAAAATCGTGACTCCAATTGATGGATGAAAATTTGGAAGGGATCAAAGTGTGGTGGTATTGATGATGCTGTATCGCTGCGTCCTTTCAAAGAAAACGTACGAAAGGTACATTGTAATAGTCATTATGTAATATCAAATTTGAATTAAAGGAATGAAATAGTAATTTCTAATGTATACATTTTAATTTGCAAAATCCAAAAGCTTATTTCATTCTGATTGCAAATGTAAGAAAGTGTACTTAAATTATTCTATGCTTATAGAGATTATTGATGATTTATAGAATATTTCTTATATTTAGATTCATTTAATTCTCTACTTTAAGGTGGTAAGGTTTTCCTTCCATTTTGTATAAACATTTGGAGTGTGTCCAAATTAACTCGGACAGTTTTCTGGATCATTTTATATTAATCCATCCTATGTTTAAATATAACTGAAATGAAGTACGAATTGCAATAATAGATTTACAGGAAGAACTCGATACAGTCAAAAATCAGTTGAAAATAAAAAAAAAATAAATAAAAAATAATGAGGAAGTAAAGTCAATTTTTCTCATCTGAGAAACTGCAGTAAACAAAGAACTAATGTCACTGCGTTTGAAGAAATGTTTCAGTGATGGCAAAATTTGTCGATGACAATTACTGGGTGAATCGTGCTCACGAAGAGGCGGTGGAAAGTAAGTATTCTTGCTAGGTACGATGATACTGTTCAACATTGAATAGTGAGCGATTTGATTGTAAACTTTTAAAAATCCTTTTTTCCCCACTAAATAAGAACGTTTCTTTTAATTCTTAACGAAAATATAAAGATTTTACCTTTAGTCACACTTGAAAACCTGTTGAAAACTCTGAATGCATCAATTTCTTTATCTTAAGAACTATTATGTAATTGCCAATATGAATTTGAAACATTGAAATGAAATATACAAAATTGATATGGATAATGGGGAAGAAACTACCCGAATGAATTGCTAAGAAGTGTTAAAGAAGGGAAAGTAATGCTAAAGGTTATAAACATTTATTTATTACACCTAGACAGGAAATTGAAATACCAGCAAGGGTCCGGACCATGTGTGATGTTTGCTTTGGATACGTCAGGAAGCATGGCAGGAGAAGGGTTTCAACAGATGAAGAGGGCTTTTACTGATATCATAGACGGTATAGCATCAAATCATTATTCTAAATACCTCGGTAGATATACACATCCAAATGTATAGAGAATAATACATTCACTTTTTCATCACATTTTGTATGAGCCCGAAACTCGAGTATCAGCCAGAAGGCCCGAGGACTGATATTGGCCGAGGTGTACATACAGGTGTACAAACATACATACAGTGTTCAAATATATGTACACCTGAAGATGGATGTACGGTTATGTAAATCCAGAAAGTGCCAATGAAATGAAATTTGGAAACTGTGCATTTTCTTTTTCTTCAATGAATATTTTTACACTAAGTATGTAATAAATGGATTAAGATCATCACAAAGAGCACATGGCGGGTGTGACCGGTCGGTAGGGGATTCTCATCTCCTCCATGGCACCTGATCCCACCTCTGATGTTTTAGAGTTCTGTATTTGCTCTGCTCCAAAATTTGTATTGTTTAATGGACTTTTGAGCTTGAATACTGTGTGTTATCTCCATACATTTCATCTAAAGGTTTCAACATCTTTTTTTAGAATACGCTAAAGGACACATGGATGAAACTGTGGCTGTGGTAACTTTTGGGGAGGAAGTCAGGTTTCGTCATTATTACTCCAACAACTACCAATCACTGAAAAGATGTCTGGGTAAACAATTTTTTTTTTTTTTTTGATGCTCATAAGTTATTTTCCTACACTTATAGGAAAAATCTTATAATATTTCATTTTGATCGATTTTAATGCTTGTTTAATTCCATCTTTAAAATTGTTTGACGATGACAGATGGCATGGACTGTAAGGGAGCTTCCCCTATTAAGGCTGCCATTACTCTCTGTCTTTCTGGATTGCTTTTTGGTGGAGGTAAATGGATTTTTCAATTGTTAAAGAAAAAACTTGCGAAACTTGTGATCAATGTCTTCTTTAATCTCATTCATTAAAGAAGGAACTGTAGCAAATCCAGGCCCCAAATCCATAAACTGAGAACAGACTTATATCAAAATTTAGAAGATGAATGTCTTTTTTATATAACGAGCTCGAGCATGTTTTAAAAGTTACAAGGTTATATAATATTTGAAAACTGACAAATGATAAAGATTTTGTTTTATTGTCAAAATTATTTCAAATGTAATAATGATTTGTAAATAAGTCTTTTTTCAGTGTTTATCTTTGAGACCTGGTGATTAATTGCTAAACGTTCGGCTGTAATTAATATTGGTAATCGGTTGTCAAATTTTCCTCATCCATTTGGACAGGATACACAACAGAGATCGGTACGTTCCAAGTCGAAGCAAAACTGATATTGATCACCGATGGCAAACCGACAACTTCAAACATGATAGGAGGAGAGGAGGACGAAGATTTTATGGACCCAGTAGAGGTTATCGTGATATCTAAAATCTTCTTCAATTAAAAAAAATATGTCATTAGTTTTTAAAACCCAAATGCTTTAAAATGTTCTTATGATTATAAAATGAATTTTCATGTTTTTTTAAAAAAAAATCTCTCATATTTAAAATATTACACAATAAGTGGCATTTGTGAGATCACTAAGTTGCCAGAAAAGAAAAATGTTTACCAAGCTTAAATGTGTATTTTGTTGCTCGATTCGAACACAATAATTAAATGATGAACTAAAACCTCAAGTTAACTAGTAATTAATTTTCATATTCTAAATTAGTCAAACAAAAAACAGATGCTTTATTTTAATTGAACGTCAAAAAAAAAAGAACAAACAATATCGATAAAATTTTCATACAAACCTAAAAAAAAGATTTACCTTCATACTAATAGCCCATTATTGAGAACACCTTTCCTTAAACAACGAGAAGAATACTGGATTAACTTAGGCACTGCTTTTTCATATGGTTCCAATGACAATGTCGATGGAGTTTGGAATCTTTCAAGTCCACAGTCTAGCAATGTGAATGTAAAGGGACTTTTTCTACAGTACACCGAGGCGTACGCGTAGTCATGGACATCGGTCTTACAATAAACTTATAATACACGGTGTCTCTTTTGATTCACTTCTACTTTATGTAAATAAACAGTTGGGTATTCATCACATCCATACCAAACTTTACTCATCCCAGTTTTAAATGGCCTATTCGACAAGGCCAAGGAAAGTACATATTTGGATTCTTTGACACTAGGAAACAGGCTTGAATCTGTGATTATGGAAATTGCTAATCACAGGCTTTTTAAACCGCCATGTTTTACGGAAGAGAATACTGCTCGAGTGATCCGCCTATTCCTTAACCTTTAAATTGCCAACAAAGGAATTGAAATTAATTACCGAATTACTAAATATTGATAATATTCTTAATCACAAAAGAGTCCAGTTTTGTACTCAACCATATTTCAACTTGATATTCATCGACCATTCCTTCCAACATTTTTAATTACAAAAAAAGCTAGAGTGCCTTTATATCGATATTCTGAAAAATAATCCTCCTACATGTTTATGTTTTTCTTCATCCAGTTAATGACACGTCATTACTGGTGACGTGAATATAGTTAATAATGAAGATCTAAAATCATTTATTTTTATTGATCCCGATTATGCCAGGCGATGAGCCAAATGTGAAAAAGACTTTGATACTTTGTCAGAATGGATTAAAAGTTTCAGATGGATGTTGAAATCTCGCATTAAACACATGAGAGGGAATATGAAAACCATCTATCCTTCTGTCTTCAATAATTTACAAGTGAAAAAAAGAATTAGATTACACGATCAATATGTACGGTCCCAAATGACAAAGCAGGTAACAACATTGTCTTTGTTTGTAAGGCTCATTAAAGGCTTTCTAAAGAAAGTTCGTATCTATTGTTGTTACCCGTGTCTGTACATCCATCTGTCACACTTTCTTCTCAATCTAACTACTCCTACATTTGAAGCAGAATTCAATTAATCTTTTGTAATATGATTGTTGAAGTCCTATAGATGTGCAATAAGGTCTTGGAATTTTCAATTTAATCTCCTGGGGGCAAATGGGGGTCAAAAATGACTTTTTTTCTACAAAAGCCTGGTTCCCAGAACTCCTCCTACATTTTACGCAGTAGCCTAATCATCTTTTGGAAGATGATTGATGGTGTCCTTTAGATGTTCAATAAGGTTTCGAAATTTTCATTTTCACCCTGGGGGTCAAAGGGAAGGGGGGTCGAAAAATGATTTTTTTTTTTTATACAAAAAGACTCTGGTTCCCAGAACTCCTCTTAATTTTATGCAGTAACCTTATCATTTTTGGAAGATGAATGTGGTGTCCTGTAGATGGCAATAAGGTTTCGGTATTTTCATCTTCTCCATGGGGGTCAAATGGGGGGGGGGAGGGAACAATGACGTTTAAAGTGTTAATGTCAAAGATTTCATGAGTTATGGTCTGGTTGTTTTTTTTTTTTAATTTGACCTTGAATGAAGAAGGGTCAAGGTAAAAAAAATTGATGCAGCAAATCTTGTGTCAATGTCTTCTATCCATGTTTCAAATTTGAATTCATAATGTCAAAGGGTTCTCAGATTATGCCCTGAAATTTTCGAATTTGAATTTATAATGTCAAAGGGTTCTCAGATTTTGCTTGAATTATGTTTTCACGTAAAAGCTGGACCTTGACTTCATTAATGGGCCAAGTTAAAAAAAATTATTAGCATGCACCCTTTTTCCATACCACCTCTATATTTTTCAAGATTGAAGATTTAATGTCAAAGGGTTCTTAGGTTATGGTTTGGAGGTGTTTTCTCAATTTGACCTTGAATGAAAAAAGGAGTCAAGGTCAAAATTTTGATACAGTGCATCTTGTGTAAATGTCTTCTTTCTATGTTACAAGTTTGAAATCCTAATGTCAAAGGGTTCTCAGGTTATAGCCTAGACTATATTTTGATGTAAGGATTGACCTTGACCTTATCAAATGGTCAAGGTCAAAAAAGTTTGGTGGCCCCAACCCCACCACTATACCACTTCTCCATGTTCCAAGTATGAAGTCTTAATGTCAAAGGGTTGTCAAGTTATGGCTTAGACAAAATTTGATTGAAGAAGAAAACTGACAAAGGCAATATGTGGACTAGATAGTCTACTTGTCGCATCAAAACTGTAGGAGGAGTAGAGTTTTGAAAGAACGAATTTGTTTCTACATTATGTAATGAAACTTTCACATAAGATTCAACTTTTCTTGCCAAGTAAAGCATGCTTATAGCGAACATGCTTATTATGAATTGACGCTTACAGCGAAGTGATTTTCATTCCCCATGACTTAAAAATATTTGTAAACTTAATGGATATAAGCAATAACACTTAAATCAAAATCATTGTCCCAGGCACTTAGTTATAAGCGTGTTTTACTGTACATTCCCCTGTTATGGCCCCACTTTACCCCTGAAGGTCATGCTTTGGACAGAGTTGAATCTACACTAAGTAATGAAATTTCACATAATTTTAAACTTTTCTGGCCCAGTGGTTCTTGAGAAGAAGATTTTTGAAAAACCATTAAATTTTCACTCATCCTTATAATCTCCCCTTAAAAGAAGGTTTGACCCTTCATCTGAACAATTGTTTTACACAAGAAAGAATATTTTGCATGAGAAATAAAACTTTTTGTGATTCTAAATATTTTATTCACACCTCTAGTGTGTTTCTTGTTATTTTAACTAAGATGATGATGATTTAATCCTGACTGTTCAATTTTGTACAGGTCTATGTATGATAATTATACCCTGAGAGGTATGTTTACATGTCTTCAATAAGTCAGGTGATTGTTTACAGTGAGTACTTTTCAAGCATAATTGATGGAGTTCATTTCTGCCTGCTGAAAATACTGAAGTTCCATGTTAAATTTGTAACAAACCACAACAAAAGACTTCTGGCTGTGTCCTTTTGTAATAATAGATATAGATCAAAGACAAGATAGTGAGTAAACTTATTTTTTACATTTCCGGGAGGGATATCATTCTCGCTGTAGTATGAACAGTGATGAATTAGTGTAAAATCTTAAAAAGTCATCAATTTGAAATAAATTTGTCTTATAACTTCATTTAAATTTTTTGGCCCATGCAAGTAGTTGAAATATGTGGAGATAACGAACAGTATTCGTGCTCAAAAGCCCATTAAACATTACAAAATAAGAGCAGAGCAAACACTAACCTCTAAAACTTCAGAGGTGGGATCAGGTGCCATGGAGGAGTGAGCATCCCCTGCCGACCGGTCACACCCGCCGTGTGCTCCTTGTCATGATCGGGAAATAACGGAAAAATCCGTAAACAATTCAGTGTGCAAATAATGGCCTAACAATTAGTATGAAAAACGTCAGTCAGCGTTTGACTTAATATAGATTGTATTTGCTGACAAGGTCATTGTTTCGACCATAGAACTTACGAAATGATGACTTTAAACGAGACTGTTGATATTCTTGTTTCATCAACTCGTTTGTCTGTAACTTATCTCGTTTTAGAAATTGTTCATACGTAGAGCATGCTCTGGCGTATCGAATCAACTGAGAGATATAAACCTCGTATGCAGGTGATAAGGGTATATTGCTGCATAAGTAAGGGAAGTTGACGATTGAAAAGTTAAAGTCATCACGTTTATTATAAAGCTTTGTTGTTAGATTACCATTAAAGTCTCTTTCTAATAAAATATCCAAATATGAAACAGATGTGTCAGACTCTGTGGTATCTTTTATTTCAAGCTCACTGGGATATATCGTATCGACATATGAATGGAATGGATCTATCCCTTTTAGCAAGAAATAAAAAGCCACCAATGAGCCTGGCACATCTATTTTATATAGGAATATTTTACTAGAGAAAGATATCAATGGCAAACGAACAACAGAATGTAATGATAAACGTGATGACTTCAACTTTTCTATCGTCAACTTCCCTTACTTATGTAGCAGTATATCATTATCACCTGCATAGGGAGTTTACGTCTCCCAGTTGATTCGATACGCGTGAGCAAGTTCTATGTACAACTGTGATCACTCTCATAAATCCACCAGATAATACAAATCGTGAATATGGCAAAAACACAGACCTGTGAAAACACCAGAGGTGGGATCAGGTGCTTAGGAGGAGTAAACTTCCTCTTCGATCGGTCACACAAGCCGTGAACACGCTGTATTGATCACGTGAACGGAGTAATCCGTGTTAAAATGTTATAAAAACAATGGTCTAAGGGATGATGGGAAACATGTTACTCAAAATACGACCAAATGATAGGTTGTATTGGCAAACAAAGCCAATATAAGGGATATAGAATTTGCGATAATCCGACTTTAAATAAAATAGTTGAAAACCCTTTAATTTTAGCTTGTTTTTCAGTAGCTTGCCTCTGTATAAAAATTGATCCTACCCAGAACATGCTCTTGACCATGGACTTTGCGAACAGCTAGCTATAGACCAGATAGTTGAAATCCTTGTAAAATCCTTGTAAAATCAACTTATTTCTTTCTCAGTAGCTTGCCTCGGTTTTTAACTAATTAAAATTGATGTTACTCCGAACATGGTCTTCCTATAAGTATCCAATAAGTTGGGATATATAAACACCATATGCAGGTGATAGCTGAATATTACTGCATAAATAGGGAAAGTTGACGATGGAAAAACTGAATTCAAGGGAACAGAGTAAAGTTTAGTACCAATATGATGTAGACTAAATTGTTTTTTGACGAAAGGTAACAGTGAAGCAAATGAAACATCGTGTATATTTGGCATATTGTATGAACGATGTCTATGACTACGCTTACCTCTTGTGTACTGTTCAAAAGTCTAATCATACTGGCACACTGTGAGCTTAAAAGATTTCCTACAATGTGAACATTGCAACTATATGGAAATTCAGTACCTGGTTTGCTATTACCGTATTTTTCACGTCTACAGAATGAAGCACTTAAAGTACAATGTAGGCCTGTTTGTGGGATGGTAATTTTTTCTTATTCTCATCCAAAGAATAGAATGATGAGACTAATCGAACAGTTTCAGTGTCCCTGCTAGGAAGATATGGAGGGACATGAGACGACCTATTTATCAGAATCTTACAACGAAACGACAATTTGAGAAAGAGCTCTTCTTTTAAACATCTCCATTTTTACGTCCTAGCTGGAACACTGAATGTTCTGCTCATGAAAAATGAAGTTATTTAAAAATCTAAATGTATCCAGTTCAACATATGTACTGATTTCAGACAAGGAAATCTTTAATGAACCTCATTGGAGATATCGGACGAGGCATATCTTTAAATTGTATCCCTGTAGGAGAAGATCCCGATTTTGTAAGGCTTTGTCTTTGTTAAGTATGATATTCTTAAAAAATGAATTACAATAAATATTTAGTTTTAAAAGGGGAAGTATGATTTTCTTTTTAATACTCTGATATAGTGTCTTTTGGGATCGATTGCGTATTCCTCACGGGGAGGTAAACTAATACAGCCCCAACAAGCCACACAGTACGGGAGGTACCACGCTAACATGGTCAGTAAAAATGCAATAAGAAAACAACCAAAAAATAACAAATTTAAGGACATATACGCAACGTTGTTTGAACTTTATTGTCTTTTTCCCTGGAGTTGAAGAGTTCTAATACTTAAAGGAACTGTGTGCTATATTTTAATGTCTTTTTATGCTGTTGTACACTTCTTCTAAAACAAGTTTGGATAAACAAAACATCTAGAATATATGTTAAATAATTTTTGTATATTTTTCTTTGAATTGTACAAGAGTTTTCATCAATTGATATCATTTCAAAACCCCTGGTAATGCATGCTGATTTTTTGTCTACGAACATCTGATGGCACCGTAATCTTAAATTAAGAATATCTTGAAAAATTATCAGTAGGTAAGGTACAGGGTGTCCCAGAATATATGATACCATTTCAAGATTCTGTAAAACCTAAAGTAATGAATATTGAATTATAACAAATGCATTATAAACATTGCATATACTGTCCAATTTTATTCACATAATTTGACAGTGATTAGAAAAAAAACAACAAAATGAGTTCTCTTTGAAAATGCTATGGTTTTTAAATGATGCCCTCTAAATGACGTTCTATCTGTGTAATGATGATGTCTAGACATTGCACAAAATTCCTTAACTTGAGAAAACAGAGACTGTCTCGGTAGTAACTTCTGAATTTTCATTAGAGGTAAACATTTTATATATGTTAAGAATTCTGGTTTGGGTTTCGCAGCAGTAACCTAAGACTAGGAATGGTAATTACAGTTTCAAAATGAGGGTAGCTAGCTCTTTTGATAATCCATTTTGATTGAAATTGCAGTTTTTTGCAAAAGTTAGATGTACATTTGTTACGTTGCAGTTTCATAAGTATGAGCTTTTTTTGGGAATATTTTGTTGTGAAAAAATTGTACCTATTCAAATATTTTTAGAGACATATATCAAAGAAATTGGCCAAGGGATGTGTTTATGGCAGGTATTTCAAATGGTATCATATATTTTGGGACACCCTGTACGTTGCGTATGTCCTTAACAATCAAAAAGCAAACATAAAAAGCAGATCATAAAAATGAAATACGATTCTGAAATGTGAATTTAAAAACCTCTACATAGCTTGGCATACTGAACTTTCAGAAAAGAGCAGAATCAGATTCTGCAGAATATTCCAGATAAGAAATTTTCTCAAGGAGATTTAGAATTAGCGATGTTTTCTACTGGAATAATGAATCAGTCAACAGACGAAGACAGGGTAATCATATTTATCTGTTGTTCCTTTGTCTAAATTAGTCTTTTTATTAATTAGTTCATGCAATTTATATTGTTTAGAATCCTCATTGTTGCTAAAAAAAAAATAGTTTCAATATATTACCAAATTGACTTCATTCGCTATTCAAAATTTAATTTTAAAAATGCTACTACTGTAATGCACGTAAGCCCATTTATCGAACTTCTTTAGTTTGATACATAATGCATTTTTACAGGATGACATTTTAGAATTGATAAGTGAAAAAACGACTTACAAACGCAAGCCTGGTATTGTGAACGAAGACAATGACGATGATGAAAATTGTGAATTTAACCCAGAAATGCTTCCAGTGGGAACAAGGGTCCGGCGGGGGCCAGACTGGCGGTGGGGAGACCAGGATTGTCACGGTCCAGGAACCGTTGTTAATCACAACGACAACGGAAGGGGTAAGGATTCTTTTTTTTAGCAAAGATTTTAATTTTGCTCGGTCACATGTGAATTAAGGTTACGGGGAGGAGATAACTTGTTTGATTTCTATAAGTTTGTTCTTCGTCTGGCAGAAATATCATATCTATACTCGCGTATAATAATCATGGACCCATTTTTGGCGCTTTTATGGTAAATCAAAAATGACTGTATTTGGCTTTGATGTCTTTAAAAGAAATTCCGCGAAATTATCGGAAAAAAGACTGATCTATAAGGGAAGTTGACGATAAAAAAGTTGAAGTCATCACGTTTTCATAAAGTTTTGTCGTTAGGTTACCATTAATCTCTTTTTCTAGTAAAATATCCAAATATGACACAGTTGTGTGTCAGATTCAGATCCTTCAACGTATTTGGCTATAGTCTTTGGCACCCCTTTTTCAGCTCCTCAGGGTTTGTTTTTTTAAATTAAATATTTCGGATTTCCAACGTTTCGGCATGAGCATCACTGAAGAGGCATAATTTGTCGAAATGTTCATCTAGTGCATCAAAATTGGAACCGTATATATGATTTACGTTATGATCCCTGGGCCGAGTCCTCTGCTGGTGGACTATTAGTCTCCAAGGGTCTCTACAGCCCAGTTGCTTAGTACTTCGGTACTAGTTTGAAAATACGGATATATATTTAATTGCTGTGGTAAAATTTAGAAATTTATTTCAAAATTAAGGATTATCTCCCCACTGCATAGCTCTGATCCTTCAACGTATTTGGTTCCAGTCTTTGGCACCCCTTTTTCAGCTCTTCCAAGTTTTTTTTAATTAAATATCGGATTTTCAACGTTTCGGCATGAGCATCACCGAAGAAACATAATTTGTCGAAAAGCGCATCTGGTGCATCAAAATTGGTATCGTATTAACTCTGTCATATCTTTTATTTTAAGTTCATTAGGATATATCTAGTGACATATGAAAGGAAGTAACTACTGTTAATTGATAACATGTCGTCGATATATCCAAAAGTCGACTTGATGGCCACTCCAAGTGTTTTCTTCTTCTCATGTAGAAGTTTTTAAATAAATTCCGCTTCGTATGAATATAAAAATAGGTCTGCTTATAAAGGGGCGCAATTGGTAAGCATGGGAATTCCGACAGATTGTTGGAAAACTTGATCTCCAAAAACTATATAGACATTGTCAATCAAAAACACAATCATCTTTTTAGTGTCAACTTCAGAGTACTTGTGTGTACAATCAGAATGTTTTTAACAAAATAATTTTGCAAATGACCAATGACAAATAAAGAAAAAATTACGAGCTCCATTTTTTGGAAAAAGCAGCTGTCAATGATGTCAAAAAGCCTTGACTTTAATTTATCGTGGGTAATGGTTGGTTGTATAAAGTGTTGAAAACTCGAACGTTTTGATGTTATTGATTTTGGTAAAATTTTGTGATTTTCAAAGTTTCTAAATGTGGCTTGGAGTTTTGAAGTATCATCATCTGATTTACACCACTTCTCGAATATATTGTTATACAGTACTCCTTAAGTTTTTCCTTCACTGCTGTTAATATTTTAGTGAGGAGTAACGAAAGAGGCTTGGTAGAACATTGACTGGAACCCGCTATATATCTTTGTGTGTAAGGATTTTATGCAGTTTAGTATGGCACGCCGATTGCTTCAAAATTATTTTCTGCACGACCTTAAACAAAAATTACACGAGTAAGTAAAAACTTACACAAAGTAAGGAAAATATACACGAAGTTATTGAAATTTACACAAACTATAGAAAAACTGCACAATCAACAATATACTTACACGATATAGTGAGAAAATTACACAAACGTAAGAACGAAAACTGCACGAGTGAGAATACAACATCGACATACTAAGCAACGCATCCTCATTGCGCATATTTCATTAATATTCATTAGAGAACAGGTCAATGTGGCTTGGATGCTTGAAACATACTATAAATACAAAAGGAGGAGTAAAGTGTTAGTAATCTTTTTAAAAAAGATTCTATTAAAATTCCGCTAGACTCTCAAGAATATGTACAACGTATATTATACATGTGATAAATTGACAGACACACAATCTTAAACTTGTAGTATATGAATACTCCCGAATAAAAAACATTCTACAAAGAATACATGTATAGTTAACGTAAAAAAAAGGGGGGGGTGCATATTACAGTTGTGTTTAATTGTTGGATTTTTTTAGTAGGTCATTCCTCTATATATCAATTTCTTTTGAAAGTTTAAAACAATGACATATAGGCCTAAATAAAAATAAATAAAAACAACATGTGATATAATACAGGAGAGTTAACAACAAATCAAACTCTTCTCCTCAACCACCCTCTGAGTGTACTTTTGGTAACAATCAAGGATGTGCATGCGTGACCTTTTCATACAGAGATCCCTACCTGCTGGTTCTGGAACGAAAGACATCTGTACGCTAATCGATTTATAGCTATATCACACACCAATAATACCTTTTGATTAAAGATTACTGGCAATTCATACAAAGATGCGATTATCTGGGTTGTGGAATTTTACCGAAAACTTTTTGGAAGTCAACAGTAAAGAAAATCGAGCAAATAATTGCGCAACTGAAATTTTAATATTGAAACGCATATCTCACTTTTTGATATATGTTTGTAACAAAGTAGTACATGTAGTCTTAACTTTTGAGCAACGTGTGGTGATTTCATAAAACTCCATGAAACTGTAGAAAAATTATACAGTCGTTTTACTTATGTGAATTAAAGCTTAATTTTATGTTGTTTTTAATGTACTGGCGGTAGTCTATTTTGAATAGTTAAAATGCATATAAAGGAGTGAAGAAAATTTAAAATTATAAAATACAGGTACGTAGTATCGTTTTTGAAGGGGGGGGGGGGGCAGCCAGATTTTTTTTTTTTGACAACCTACCTGAAAAAAACCTTGACAAGCAACCAAACTCGAAAACCCTATTTCGTGGGGGGGGGGGGGGGGGGGGGTGTCGGGGGTCCCACCTTCCACTTTGTTTTCGAAACACATTATAATGCCAAATTACTTTGATTTAAACTATCCTACAACAAGGGGGGGGGGGGGGGCAACCAGCTTTTCAGTGGACATTTACAATAGAAGTAGGTTGTGTTTGGAAAAAAAAGGGGGGAAGGCCCCTACTGATGCTACGTGCCTGAAATATTTTCTAAGAATTTAAGGGTACATATGATAGTCTATCGAAATCAGGATTGCAATTTAACTGATTTGTAACGATATTGTAAGACCAAATTCAAGAAGATGTACAAGATGAACTTAATTAGCTGGGACTTGGCTACACATGCATATTTATTTTCAATGCAGATTTTGACAATAATAAATTTGCACACGCCAAAACAAAAATTTCTTGAAGTTTATATTCATCATATGTTTTCTTATATTTATTCGTAGTCATGCTCGAAGTAAAAACAAGACCTGGTTGATGCCATTGATACACATGTACAATATTGCTATAAAGCAAACTTTTTAATTACTTGTACATATATACGTACAAAATTCATATAGCATAGATTAGGCTTTTTAACTCACAATCTGAATTTTCAAAAATGTTATAGATATGCACATGAATAATCTTTTAAAAAGTGAAGCTTGTATCAAATATGTTCCTTGAATGTTATTGAAGATTATTTTCATTTTATAATTATACAGTCATGTTCTTTTTATAATGACTATATCTTTGGGTAAAAAAGTGTTATTACAAAAAACAAGTGTTCGGATAATAATTAAAATTTTATGCATACACATTCGAAATGTAAAGAAATTTTGTTATCTTGGAAAATCTTTGTCAAACCTCTAGCTCCATAAAGAACATGATTTTGCATTTTTCAAGAGCGATAAAACACGTTCTATGTTCTTTCTATTTATTATAATGTCCATTCCCATTTTCTTATTTGTAACATTGTACGTAGATGTATTTAGTAATTCACAATGTTTTAAAATTTCTGACATATCATTATGGTCCAACGATTTGAAACTTTAATAAATACATAGATTCAGATGTTGCGACTCAATCAATTCACGAACCAGATCCGCCACTAATGTCATTAGTTTTACCGGTGCCAGGATCATTTGAGTAGAGTTTTGTTATTTCATTTGGACAAATTTTAAGTAACAAAACACAAAACCGCATGTATATAAAGCACATAGAGTATATATTTTTCCTTTATCTGGTCCTTTTTAATAAAAGTGAACACATTTATCAAGTAATCGCCATTACGAATGAGGGTAACGCTTTCCCTTAGGAATGTCTTGTTTTTTATTGAGCAGTTTTTGACTGAAAATATGCGATATCATGGATGGAATTCATAACAGTGTAGGCTACAGATATCCAACCAAAATTGATATCCTCATATTTTATAAGTAAAGATACATGTATAATTAGAAATATTTTTTTATGTTTGACTTTAAAAACATACTGTGTATATCTAAGGTCAGGTAATCCCCACTTATTAATCTTTTTGAAAATAAAAAATATATCCAGCTAACTCCCAAATGAAAAAAGAATCTGCTCAAGTGAAATCATAATTAGTACAAATGAGAAGTACCGAAATAAATTCTACAATTTAATGATTATAATCAGCAATAATTTTGCCATCATTTTCATGAAGAATCCAATTTATTAATCGTTTTATTATGCATGTTTTAATTTTATTTTATACAAGTAATTTCCGTTAAAGTTGTATCTATGAGTTAGATAATTTTAAAAGGCCATAGAGCGTATATTTAAAAATGATAAATAAATATTTCTATCATTTTTTTTAAAGCAAGATCTGTTTATCGTTAGGAATTTAGAGTTTGCTGTGTATTACGTTTAGTTCAGAGTCGAGTGCATCATATGCAATGGTACTCTTTCCTCCGCATTATAACACAAACATGCGATTTCTTTCTTGTCACAATTTATGTCCGACATCATATAATACCTCCATAATTTGGCTAGGATCTCGGTCAATATAAGAAAAATATATCTCCGAACAACTTTTAATTTTTTTCACACAGTTCACAAGAAAACACTTCATTCGTTTGATTGGCATTAGCTAGAAATCGGATCGAGTTTTAGCAAAGAAATAAAGAAGCAAACAAACATGCATATCATCGTCAACGCCATTTTCTCTCGATTAATTACATCCAGCATTCAAGAAGAGATAAAGAGTACAGAAAACCAAGAACACAATGAATATTCTATGTGCATAATAATGATATGCGCAGTAAAATTGTTTGTGTAATTTTTACTTTCCTCTGCTCGTGCAGTTTTTGAGTTTACGTTTGTGCATTTTATACCCATTAATCGTGTAAAAAATTTTGGATTCGTGTATTTTTCCTTATGCTTGTGTTAAAATCTTTCAAACCATGTGCAATTTTTACCGATACGTGCATTTTTATTTTACTCGTGTATATTTTTCATCAAGCTCGTGTATAAAATCGTTATTGTTGTGCAGAAAATAATTTTGAAGCAATAGGCGTGCCATAGTTTAGGAATCCAGTATAAGTATGGTGAATTAAATTCAATTAGATTGTTGGGAATATAAAAAATATTGAAAACTGATATATAATTTTGAAGAATGTCCTCCTTAGAAAGGAAGCTATGGGTATAAGTTGGATTACCACTTGCAGAATTAAATCCCAGCTCCTCTAAAATACACGTAAAATAATGATCCTTACAAAGACATTGTTCAATTCTTCGAGGTCATGACGCAAACACCACACCCGATTGTTTTGAATGAATAACTTAACATTAGTACTGACTGCAATATAATGGAGTCCCAAAATATCTGCGAGGTAAATGAAGAAATTTATAAGCAATCGTAGTCAGAATTACATGTACTTATTGTATCCGGATACACGCTGTACTAATTTTGATTATTTTCCCAAACTGCAATTCCACTGATGCCCATTAGAATACTTAACCTCACTCAACTATTCAGGACGACTATTAAATCACGATTTTTACCGGATTGAACATCTAAATAATATAGTTGAGGAGGCCTACTAAAGATTACGACTTCAAAAAATGCTAAAATACAATTCATGAGTTAGTAAAATTTGAACGAGAGGGATAACATTATAGAATTTAAAAAAAAAAATACACAACGTATGTTCAAAGAATTCTTTTTAATTCAAAATATGTTTTGGATTCCGAAACTTCATAAAAATCCTTAAAAACAAAGATACATAGCGGGTTCCTGTAAATGTTCTACTAAGCCTCTTTCTTTACTCCTCACTAAAATATTAATTAACAGCAGTGAAGGAGAAACTTCAAGAGTACTGTGCAACATATTCGAGAAGTTCGAGAATATTCGAGAAATGTTGTAAATCAGATGTGGATACTTAAAAACTCCACGGAACTTTTGGAAAATTTGTAATCACAAAATTTTAGCAAAATCAATAACTTAAAACCTTACGACTTTTCAACTCTGTATACAACTATACCGCACGAAAAATTAAAGTCCAGGCTTTTTGACATCAATGACAGCTGCTTTTTCAATAAAAAATGGAACTCGTAAATTTACTTGTCATTGGTCATTTGTAAAATTATTTTGTTAAAAAACATTCTGATTGTACACACAAGTACTATGAAGTTGATATTAAAAAGATGCTTGAGTTTCTGAATGACAAGATCTAGTGTGTGGTTTTTGGAGACCAGGTCTTCCAACAATCTGTTGGAATTCCCATGGGTACCAATTGCGCCCCGCTGTTAGCAGACCTATTTTTGTATTCATATGAAGCAGAATTTATTCAAAATCTTATACAAAAGAAAAAGAAATCTCTTGCTGTGGCCTTCAAATCGACATTTAGATATATCGACGACGTATTATCAATTAACAATAGTTATTTCAATTCATATGTCGACACGATATATCCTTGTGAACTTGAAATAAATGATACCAGAGAGTCTGACACATCTGTTTCATATTTGGATATTTAACTATAAAAAGACGTTAATGGTAATCTAACAACAAAGCTTTATGATAAACGGGATGACTTTAACTTTTCAATCGTCAACTTCCCTTACTTATGCAGCAATATACCCTTATCACCTGCATATGGGGTGTATATCTCTCAGTTGATTCGATACGCAAGAGCAAGCTCTACGTATGAACAATTTCTAAAACGAGGTAAGTTACTGACAAACATGTTGATGAAACAAGAGTATCAACAGTCTCGTTTAAAGTCGTCATTTTGTAAGTTCTATGGTCGATACAATGACCTTGTCAGCAAATACAATTTATCATTAAGGCATATACTGACTGATGTTTTTCATACTTATTGCTAGGGCATTATTTGCACACTGATTTTTCTGTTATATAAGGATCATGACAAGGAGCACACGGCGGGTGTGACCGGTCGGCAGGGGATGCTCACTCCTCCATGGCACCTCATCCCACCTCTGTTTTTGGAGGTCCGTGTTTGTTCTGCTTCCGATTTGTATTGTTTTAATGAACTTTGAGCTTGGATACTGTTCTTTATGTCCATATTTCATGTTTGAATATCTTTCACCTTCATGTAGCACAGCAGTGGTATCCTGTTGCACTTGTTGTCAATTAAAATACTAACATCTAGATGTACTTGTAGCATAAACAAATTGATGTACTTCTAGTTGTTCATGTATATTTAAGTAAGAAAATAATTATAGATTCTGTATTTGAGTTTTTGCTTTCACAGATGGTTGGTTACGCGTGGTATGGGATACGGGGTCGAGTTTTCCCTATCGGTATGGTAGTATTGGTATGTTTGAAAACTTTGATTTGGTGGAATGTGATGAGCCTAGAATTCTGAATGACGAGTTAATAGCTGTAGGCTGCCTTGTCGAAAGAGGTAAAAACATCCAAGCATCTTTTTTCTTGAGGAAAATTTTTAATTTTTTGCAAGTAATAATTTTTCCTCAGATAAATATTTTATTTTTTTTAATCACCTTTCGTCATTCATTGTATTTTTACCACGCTAACTCTGTCGGTAGGAATACCAGAAATATTGTATATATTACATCTATTCTTTCTTACGTTGAAAGGGCCTGACTGGCAGTGGGAAGACCAAGATGGCGGAAAAGGAAATATTGGAGTCGTGTACAAAACAAAACGGAATGCTGTTGTTTACGTAAATAGTTTTAACTATTTATTCAACAAAAGATACGAAAAAACTAATTGTATTGTGAAACTTAAACCCTACACAAATGTCAATATTCTAGGTAAGATGGCCTAATTCAAATAAAAGCAACTACAGATTTGGTTATGATGGAAAATTTGATGTCCAACTTTGGTATGTACTTATTCATACTCATAAATGATACATACTAATACCTCTTACTAAATTTTTTTTTCAATTTCATTTTGTTTTTGCTATTTTTAGTGACCCATTTGACTCGGATGTGGTTAAGAGATTGCAACAGCAAAAGCAAGACGCTGGTGAAATGTCATCTTCAAAATTAGCAAATGAAACCAACGCTGTAAAATGTAATTTCATTTTATGGTTATAAATATGTATTTGAGGTCAAGTATTCAGTAAAAGAAAATACTGAATGACTTTTTTTTATTGTTTTGTGAACATCTGATTATGTCATAGGGTCGATCACAATGCATTATTTATTCAAACCTTAGTTCTATTTTGTTTTAAAGAGGCATTTGGTACTTTCAGTAAAACTTTTATATTTACAAGCACCTGAATCAAGGGAGGACGAAAAAGAGAGCAAAAATATTTCTTCGAGAGATTCCATTGTAACTCCTTTCGTGAACAGGCCTGTTTTATCGTCTATTAGAAATCAAAATGTCACTACAAATGACGATCCAGGAGACGTTTATCACTTTTGTGGACGTTCTGGATCCATTGATGACGAGCTTAATGACGAAATCAAGATTGATTTTCCACATACAGATATCTGGCAATTCAAAGGCGAAGATGGTCAATGGAAAAACTTCCCAAAAGATATAAATCAAAAGATTGATTCCAATTACAGGAAGAATAATAAAGGCACGGTACTGGTTAACATCAGGGATTCCTGGTATGAAACACATATTTTTTTTCTGAGCGCATGTGTCGAAATACTTTACTTTTGAGGGTTCGGAGGTTAACTTCAAATGTAATCGACTATTACATTAAGTACACTCACATATTGATTGATTGATTGTTGTTTGACGTCCCGTTCGAGAATTTTTCACTCATATAGAGACGTCACCATATTTACCGGTGAAGGGCTTCAAATTTAGACCTTTAATCGGCACTCAGGTCCATTGAACAGTGAGGGTTCTTTATCGTGCCAACGCCCGCCTTGACATGGGGCCTCGGTTTTTAAGGTCTCATCCGAAGGACTCCCAACTTTCACTTCAAAGTGCAGAGCGCTTGGCGAAAGAACAGTTGATACCTATTTTTTTATCGACTTAGGTCAGTCGCGGCCGTGATTCGAACACACGACCTTCCGATCACGGAGCTAGCGCTCTACGGACTGTGCTACCGTGACGGACACTCCCATATTGCCAAATTCAAATTATTCATTATTATAAATGTAAACTTCGTGCATACTTTGGTAAAATATTTCAATTTGGATATTTTATTCATCTATTCTCTATGGTGTACACCCTCTTCACAAACACAACCTCCCATCCCTCTCTCTCACACACACACACACACACACACACCCTCACACACACCCTCTCACCCTCACACACACACACACACACACACATACACACACACACACACACACACACTAGAGCCAGAGAAAAACTGAATAGTAATGAACATCTTTCTCCTTACACATAATTGAAATATGCATTTAAAATTACTTCGTGGATCACAGAACCCTCTTACATGTTAAAGAACCATCCCTTGGGAGTTATAAAACTTTTAATGTGAGAAAAAGCTTTAATTATAAATGTGATTTATTATATCATGCAAAATAATGGACATTTAGACTAATCTAAATAGTTCTTATTTGACTATCCGAACTGTAACAGTCTTTGTCAGAGTTCGTCATAACGTCTTTTCCTTTACATTCATTTTTAGGTACAGGATCGTATCATCAAAGATGAAGATGATTGATATCAAATCAAGACACAGCACTGATATCAGATATCTCGAAGGCAGAACTGACAAGGATCACTGATTGTCATGTGTACAAACGACTACTTACAAAATCTTAAAAGTTTTTCAGATTTTCTTTTTTTGCTTTTTAATTTCTCTGATAATTCATCAGATATACTATAAAATGCCTATTGCTTTCACGGAAATTTATTCTAGCATTTAGAGATGTTGCTGCGATACATATGCGTTTTTACATATATTAAAATATATGTATAAGTAATCTTTTGCTGTTAACTTAAGCGCCTCTATTTTAAGGTCAACTGAGTTGCTGTCAGTTTTTGTCCGTCGTCGTACTTTGTGTCGTTCGTAAACGTTTGAACATTTTTAGCTTCTTCTCTGGAACCCCTGAACCAACCAATTTTTGCTTATAGCATCTATGGTTGAAGTGGGAAAAAATGTGAATGTTATGGTCCTTGCCCTCCTGGAACCTGAAGGATGGGGCTAAAACCATCAAAATAAATGCAACCTTTACAAATCTTCTTCTTTACTCCTGGATATCAAGCAGTCAAACTGTTGGCATGATTGTAATATGCAGTGATCCCTGTAAGAAACTTCTGAAATTCATGTCCCCATGGTCACTGCTTCTTGTGTTAGGATGGCGCTCCATAAATCATAAGGTGAAAATGCATAAATTCTTCAAAAATATTTTTCTTTCCCCCAGTATCTCGAAAAGACATACGAAGTGCAATGATATGATGAGCCTCTTCCGATTCGTGGCCCCCTTGTCAGGGGTTTAGGTGTTAGGGGCTCTATTGGTCATATATATTGAAAATGTATTAATTTTTCGAAAAGCTTCTTCTCTACTCCTAAGTAGTTAGAATACAAACTCAATACATGCTTATGATGAGAAAGAGTGCTTATTCCAAAATTGTGAAATTCACATCCCTTGGGTCAGGAGTTCTGGTGTTATGGCGGTTCTTATTTGCATCATATAGTGCAAATACAAACCATTAATGTAACTTATTTGTTACTCATAATTTTACTTTCACTATGTTGGATAAATGTTCATATGTAAAAATTTATATATGATTAGTTGACTAACCTTTTTACACATTTTTTTTTTCAAGTTGTGTGTTTAGTCATCAAAATACATTATACAAACTGAACGATGGATTGTTTCTCTACGTTACATTGTACCTAGTTATCATATCATTATTTTATTATACAAACTGAACAATGAGCTAATGAGTCATATGTAAATTGCACTAATGTGTTTTATGTGTATTTATTTGTTATCATAATTGATATATGTCATGCCCCATGAGGTCCTAATTCGGAAACAAATTCTATTCTATTCTATTCTATAGATGCATTAATTCTGTGAAAATCTTCTTCTCTACTCCTGGGTATTTAGAATGCAAATTAAATACATGGTTATGATGAGCAACAGTGCTTCTTCCAAAATTGTGAAATTCATGGCTCCTGCCCATGTTCTGGTGTTAAAGCGGGGCTCTTTTAATCACATAGCGAAAATGCATTAATACTTTGAAATCTTTTTCTCTGCCCCTGGATATTTAGCAGTCAAACTAAGTGCATGATTATAATAAGAAAGAGTGCTTTTTACATAGTTTTTTGAATTTCATAGCCACTGGGGTCCGGGATTCAGGAGTAAGATCAGGTTTCTTTTGATGATATAGTGAAAATGCATTACTTCTTTAAAATCTTCTCTGTTCTTGAAATGTTTAGCAGAAAATTTAAGTGCATGGTTATGATGAGCAAAATCGGGAAATTTATGGCCTCTGAGACAGGGGTTTAGAGTCAGGACGGGGCTCTATTGGGAATATCTACTCCTCTTTAAGAGAAGTTATTCCCTTTTGTTATTCATTTACTATAATTAATCAATGCAAATAATGTAATTAATACTAGCTAAACTGAATAAAGGAATTATGACAGAAGTTCCAATATATAATATAAAAAGCACTTTCGTAGTTTTTAATAGTAAGGTAAACGTGTAAAAATTAGATGAATAAAAATAGTCATATTACCTTACATATGTAAATTAAATCTTATTCAAAGACCACGAGATTTCTAAATATTGTGTTTTATGCTAAAGCACTACTGTCTTGTTATTTCTTCCTTTCTAAGGAAGAAATTCTTCAAACTCATATGTCAGTTTTGAATATTTTTAATATTCCAAACAACCAAAATGAATTCAAATTACCATATTTATATTGGATTCCGAAACTTCATAAAAATCCTTACAAACAAAGATACATAGCGGGTTCCAGTAAATGTTCAACCAAGCCTCTATCTTTACCCCTCACTAAGATATTAACAGTGGTGAAGGAGAAACTTCAAGAGTACTGTGCAACAATATATTCGAGAAGTTGTGTAAATCAGATGTGGATACTTAAAAATTCCAAGGAACTTTTGGAAAATTTGAAATCACAAGATTTTACCAAAATCAACAGCTTAAAAACTTACGACTTTTCAACTTTATACACAACCATTCCTCACGATAAATTAAAGTCCAGGCTTTTTGATATCATTGACAGCTGCTTTTTCAATAAAAATGGAACTCGTAAATATACTTACCTTGTCATTGGTCATTTGCAAAATTATTTTGTTAAAAAACATTCTGATTGTGCACACAAGTACTCTGAAGTTGACATTAAAAAGATGCTTGAGTTTCTGATTGACAATATCTATGTGGTTTTTGGAGACCAGGTCTTCCAACAATCTATTGGAATTGCTATGGGTACCAATTGCGCCCCGTTATTAGCAGACCTTTTTTGTATTCATATGAAGCACAATTTGTCCAAAATCTTGTACGTGAAAAGAAGAAAACACTTTCAACTCGACATTTAGATATATCGACGACGTATTGTCAATTAACAATGGCTATTTTCATTCTTATGTCGATACGATATATCCTGGTGAACTTGAGATAAAAGATACCACAGAGTCTGACACATCTGTTTCATATTTGGATATTTTACTTGAAAAAGACGTTAATGGTAATCTAACAACCAAGCTTTATGATAAACGTGATGACTTTAACTTTTCAATCGTCAACTTCCCTTACTTATGCAGCAATATACCTTCATCACCTGCATACGGGGTATATATCTCTCAGTTGATTCGATACGCAAGAGCATGCTCTACGTATGTACAATTTCTAAAACGAGGTAAATTATTGACAAATAAGTTGATGAAACAAGAATATCATCTGTCTCGTTTAAAGTCATCATTTCGTAAGTTCTATGGTCGATACAATGACCTTGTCAGCAAATACAATTTATCATTGAGTCAAATGCTGACTGACGTTTTTCATAATAATTGTTAGGCCATTATTTACACACTGAATCGTCAACGGATTTTTCCGTTATTTCCCGATCATGACAAGGAGCACACGGCGGGTGTGACCGGTCGGCAGGGGATGCTCACTCCTCCATGGCACCTAATCCCACCTCTGATGTTTGGAGGTCCGTGTTTGCTCTGCTCCTATTTTGTATTATATAATGGACTTTTGAGCTTGAATACTGTTCGTTGTCTCCATATATTTCATTGATAATGATAGAGTGTAGATGGCATTGGTATATACAGGCAAGTTTCAGAGTTGTTGCTGATTACCAGACTAACTATTCCCTGATCATTCTTTTTCTTTTAATTTAGTTTGTGTTAATTTTGTGTTATTATATAACTATTTACCATTCCAAGGATCCTTTACAGGGTTGTATTACTCTCAAGTGACCGTTCAAACCCTTTATTGTAGAATAATACGTTTGCATGGTTATGAATCCCCAAAAAGGAAGACACTTTTGTGACTTTTGTGCAATATGGGCTGATGAATTCTGAAGAATTTAAATCCAAAGTATAACCATTACGCTTTCTGAATGACCTTTAAGTGAGGGCAATCGATTCTGGGTACAGTGATATGATATCATTGTGCATCCAATGCAAATTCTGTTTTCTTTGTTCCTCTTAAAAAAAGTGACATCATTTTTGCTATTTAATCTTACATTTTTTGGTTATAAGTTAGAGATATTTTGTTGATATTTAAGCATTTCATCTTCCTTCCTGCATTTTTCCTGTGTTTTTGTGTCTGTTTAATTATTATGATATGTAAAATCTTCCTGTTGTGACATTAGTTTTGTATAGGGTTCTACGAAATAACAGAAGAAACAAGACAGGTTTGGGGTTTTGTTTTAAATTCTGATATTTCATTTCACTCTCCTGTTGTTTAATTTCATGTTTTATCTGAAGATGTCCTTGTCCTTGGATGTTCATCTTTCAATATGTGAATTACAGAGAATTCTTTTCAGGACATGGAAGCTACTATGTTTGGAGCTATGTGGCTCTCACAGGCGAAGGTGGAAGCTCAAAAACGTACGTCAGTATTTTTTTTAACCATAAATCTTATGTTATTGAGTGTTATTATTATTATTTGCATTTTAAATTGCCTACATGTGCAATCTAGAAGAACTCATAAAATATCGTCAGAAATAAAAAGATGAGTCTTAAATTGAAAGGAAGTAATTTGAAAGATCTTCCTTACGTAAAGTTAAGCAGTTTAAGCGAGTTGTATAAGAGAATGAGAGAAAGAGAGAAAAAGAAAGAGAAGACCGAAATTGGTGTGATTATTAGCCTTTAAATAGATATAGCGACACAAACGTGTTCTCTGTAACCACCATTGCTTTACTCACTACATAGATCTCAATTTTTTGTTTAGTTTGTCTGTGAAATATATGGACATAACGAACAGTATTCAAGCTCAAAAGTCCATTAAACAATACAAAATAGGTGCAGAGCAAACACGGACCTCCAAAACATCAGAGGTGGGATTAGGTGCCGTGGAGGAGTGCATATGAGCATCCCCTGCCGACCGGTCACACCCGCCGTGTGCTCCTTGTCATGATCGGGAAATAACGGAAAAATCCGTCGACAATTCAGTGTGTAAATAATGGCCTAACAATTAGTATGAAAAACGTCAGTCAGCATTTGACTCAATGATAAATTGTATTTGCTGACAAGGCCATTGTATCGACCATAAAACTTACGAAATGATGACTTTAAACGAGACAGCTGATATTCTTGTTTCATCAACTTGTTTGTCAGTAATTTACCTCGTTTTAGAAATTGTACATACGTAGATCATGCTCTTGCGTATCGAATCAACTGAGAGATATAAACCCCGTATGCAGGTGATGAAGGTATATTGCTGCATAAGTTTGAATGTTGTTTAACGTTTCTCTCGAGAATTTTTCACTCATATGGAGATGCTGCATAAGTTAGGGAAACTGACGATTGAAAAGTTAAAGTCATCACGTTTATCATAAAGCTTGGTTGTTAGATTACCATTAACGTCTTTTTCAAGTAAAATATCCAAATATGAAACAGATGTGTCAGACTCTGTGGTATCTTTTATCTCAAGCTCACCGGGATATATCGTATCGACATAAGAATGGAAATAACCATTGTTAATTGACAATACGTCGTCGATATGTCTAAAAGTCGAGTGGAAGGCCACAGCAAGTGTTTTCTTCTTATCACGTATAAGATTTTGAACAAATTCTGCTTCATATGAATACAAAAAAAGGTCGGCTAATAACGGGGCGGAATTGGTACCCATGGGAATTCCAATAGATTGTTGGAAGACCTGGTCTTCAAAAAACACATAGTTATTGTCAATCAGAAACTCAAGCATCTTTTTATTGTCAACTTCAGAGTACTTGTATGTACAATCAGAATGTTTTTAGCAAAATGATTTTGCAAATGACCAATGACAAGATAAGTAAATTTACGAGTTCCATTTTTATTGAAAAAGCAGCTGTCAATGATATCAAAAAACCTGGATTTTAATTTATCGTGGGGAATGGTTGTGTATAAAGTTGAAATGTCGTAAGTTTTTAAGCTGTTGATTTTGGTAAAATCTTGTGATTTCAAATTTTCCAAAAGTTCCTTGGAATTTTTAAGTATCCACATCTGATTTACACAACTTCTCGAATATATTGTTGCACAGTACTCTTGAAGTTTCCCCTTCACTACTGTTAATATCTTAGTGAGGGGTAAAGAAAGAGGCTTGGTTGAACATTTACTGGAACCCGCTATGTATCTTTGTTTGTAAGGATTTTTATGAAGTCTCGGAATCCAATATAGATATGGTAATTCAAATTCTGTCTTATTTAATTATAGAGAAAGCCCGCCGATATCAGAGGGGAAGAGGAAGCTGTGTTCTCTTTATACTGGACTTTTCTGAGAGTATGAGAGGGGAACCTTTAAGAGAAATGAAGAGGGGAGTTACGGAAATACTAGATGGTGTTTCATTTTATACTGGACAAAATCAATCTGTTCCCAAGAAAATTTGTTCCGTTATAATGCTAGAATTTTATTTACATTTGTAGAGTTTGATCAGCAACCAGATCTTGACGAGAATGTTTCTGTTATGGTTTTCGGACAAGAAACAAAATTTCTGCATTATTATTCCAACCAATATTCTACAATAAAACAAAGCATTGGTAATAACATTTCTACTTCATTTAGTGGTGTTTTATCGGCCAAATATATAATACAATATTTAGGAAAACATTCTGTTCAGAAAGGCGGGTATGTCAGAATCTTTGTTATGGGAATCTTAAATAGAACTGTACAATTAACTCATTTAAATCCAGCTCATTCTATTTAAAATTCATTACTTGTTGGTGCTAGTAAAAGATGTCTGAAATGATCTAAAAAAAATCTCAAAGTTCTGATCAACATTATCTACCATTGATAAAAAGATAGTGAGTTTTAATTGTTATGCAACTATTAGGACAAGCATCACTGTTTTAGCTCACTGGAGCCGAAGGCTCAAGTGGACTTTTCTGATCAAAATTTGTCCCATTGTCTGTCGTTGTTGTCGACGTCCTCGTAATTTTTCTACCATTTCATCTTCTCCTCTTGAACCACTCGGCCAATTTCAACCAAACTTGGCAAAGAGTATCCTTGGGTGAACAGGATTCAAGTTTCTTCAAATGAAAGGCCAAACCCTCTTCCAAAGGGAGATAATTTTGTAAAAGTAAAAATTTGATATGGTTCCTTTAAAAAACTTCTTCTCAACAACTGCTGTGCGACCAGAAAAGATGAAACTTATGTGAAAGGTTCTTGACAAAGTGTAGATTCAATGAAATTTATTCAAATAATGACCTTCGGGGGTAGGATGGGGCCACTATGGGCAATCAAAGTTTCTTATGGGTATATATAAGAAAAAGCTTTTAAAATCTTTTCAAGAACAGGAAAGCCATGAATAGTCATATTTAGTTGGAAATATTCATAGGAAGTTTGTTCTCTGGAGATTGGGTTTGGCCTCATTGGGCGATTAAAGTTTTATATAAGAGGACAAACAACAGATCTTGAAAAATGTTTTTTCAAGAACAGCAAAACCATGATCAGGCATATTTATATTTGTAGGGAAGCATCCTCAGGTAGTATAGAATCAAGTTTGTTCAAATCATGACTCCCGGGGGTAGGGTAAGGCTGCAATGGGCAATCAAAGTTTTACAAAGGAATATATAGGAAAAAAGAATTTAATGATGAAGAACAAGAAGAGCCATATTTACTTAGGTGAGCATTGAGGCCCATGGGCCTCTTGTTGATTAATGTTTGTAATTTTCATGACAAATGATCTCAGAGGAGTTGAAATGTGGTGGACCCTCCCCACTCACAGCTGCCTTTCTGTTGGCCCTTGGGGGACTGTACGAAGGAGCAGGTATACAGATAGATTCTCAAAGATAAAGGAGGAACTGGTTATCAATAAACTTGTGAATTATAGATAATATCACAATTCTAATATGCCTTATTATAATTATTAAAATTATATATTTCGCACTAAGGTAACTTGCAATTTTTAACAGGGTATTTTCGATTGTATCACTTGTCAAATTTGTCATACAAATTATTAGTTTTTTATATAACATTATCAACATTTATCATGTAAAATCCCAATAACCTACGAGGGGTGATCAAATAGTTCGCAAACTATCTCTATATTTACAAAACCACAGTTCAGATCAGAATGAAATTTCGCACACATATAGTCATACACATATTCTATTAATAGCAGGTGTTATATAATGTTTTACTCCGTGTTTGTGACGTCACAATGGGAAAATGACGTCAAATGTAGGTGACTTGTGACAAAAAATGGTTGACTCAGTTACTCGGGCAACGAACGGCTGTAAAGTTTAACGTATATCTTGGAAATTCCTTTGCAGTAAAATATGATTATTTGTACAAGGTTTATGAAGACAAATGACTTACCAGAAGTTCAATCATTAATTGGATTGATTGTTTTAGTAAAGGCAAGGAGATGGTTAAAAATTATGTTTGTTCTGTTGCCCAGCGAAAACAAGCTGGGGAAAAGATGTGTCCTTAGTTGAGCAATTTGTTATGGCAGATCGCCAAGTTACAATTAGAAAAATAGTTGAATATATTAACAATAATATAATTATCAAATCCCTAAAATATCGTTTACTTTAGACTTTAAACATATGAGATATTATTAAAAAAAAAAAAAAAAAAAAAACGGTCGTCAATACTTTAACCACATTGGATAAATGACGTTCCCGAGACAGAGGACTTGGCTTTTGATGACCACCATGCTAATTCTGGGAAGGGATGTCCTTATCCACCCATCCTATTGCCGAGATTTGGCCATTTCTGACAGATGGGACTGTTTTAGTTATAAAAAAAATCGCCTGGATCACGTGATTCGCGCATGGGCAGAACAATGGTAGATTTGCATTATAATCGGAGAGGACTACTTTAAAAAATAATGAGCACTGAAACTTTTCTTTTAAGGAAGTAATTCAATTAGTTCTCGAACTTTTTGATCACCCCTTGTATATATCAAATTTTCAACTTACATGTCCATGTAGTTTGTGAGATAAGTGCATTATAACATTCTCTCAAAAATTAAATTAAGAATGGAGTCTTTTAGTTGCATGTCAGTTTGTCATGTTTCTTATATTACTTTTAAATTCAAAAAACACCAAAAATATATATAATGGTTGATGAAACATGAAAATGAATAAAAAAAGGAATTTCTCTCGAAGTGTGCCAAGATGATACCGAGATTTTTTTCAAGTTTTGCTTTATAAACGCAGTGGTGTCATCCATAGCTGTGCTTCAAAGAATTAAATATTTTTTATCAGATACATTCTTCTTTAAAAAATATATTAGATAGCAATATCAAACCAAAATTTCCAGGGATGATTCCTCCACTACATGTATTACCAAAAACTATTAATTCTTTAACGCATTTTATTTTGAAAAATTTCACCATACATTCCCTATAAATCTCCAAAACAACACAGTCTCTTACCCTCCATATATATCCCAAAACAACACAGTCTCTTACCCTCCCTATAAACCGCCAAACAAGACCATTCCACACTCCTCAAATCAAGACAGTCTCCATCTCTTTCCATAAACCCCAAACGAGGCAGTCTCTTAACCCTCTCTAACCCGCTCACAAAAATATCAAGAGAGTCTCTTGCCCTCCTCATCAAAACATGACAGTCTCTTATCCACTCTATAAACCAGTTAAAGATAGACTCTATCTCCCTATAAAATATATAAGATGTACAGGTGTACTAATAGCTTATCCTTCGGTGCACCTTTCCGTAACCTACGAGAAGAATACTGGATTACGGAACTAAGTATTCTTTCTATATGATTGCAAAGACAATTTCTATAGTGTGGAGAATCTTTCAGTTATGTTCGATTATGATTGCCAATAAGATCATTAAAATGACCATAGAATTTTCAAAATGTTGACTTTTAACGCGGTTGTTGAAATCCCTGTGATATCAACTTACCTGTCAGTAGCCTGCCTCGGTTTAAAAAATGACCACACTCAGAGCATTCTCTTCAGTATTGAATAAGTTTGGAGACGTAAACACCATATTGAGGTAATAGCGGAATATTACCTCATTAATAAGGAAAGTTGATAAAGGAAAAGTTGAAGTCATGTAGTTTGTCAAACCATTAAATTGTTAGTTGGCTCTTATGGTCTGTGGTCGGTAAAACATTCAAATATGAAACAGATGTGGCAGATTCTAAACATTATAAACATGATGTCTCTTTTTAATCACTTCTTTCTTTCGTTTGTTTGTTGATAAAGGTCCCCTTTTTACTCATGCTGCCGGTGGAGAGCTTTAAATTTAGACCTGTAGTCAGCACTTAGGGCCTATAATTACTGCTTTATTATCTTAACATTTCATTTATAAACTTTTAAGCTAATTTCAGGAGCAACATTTTGAATTTAATTAAAAAGGTGAAGATAACCAACAGTGTTCAATCTAAAAAAAAATAATTATACGAAAGGTGTTCACATATTTATGGAATTCTCATCAATCATTAGATATCTAGATATGTGTGGAATTCAAAATGATCGACTGTAGAGATCAAAATAGAAATGGACTTGTAAAAACTACATATCATATATTACGTAAACGTTTTAATTTTGCATTAAATATTGAATTGAGTTTATTAATTTATTGCTGATGAAAGAAAATATACTAGTAATCGGCGTTCCAAGAGTATGCATTTCTCCAGATTCCTTTCAAGTTCAGAATTATAGATCTAGTGTTACATGTATCAAGTTAACACTGAATCTCTTTCTAACGACACACTGTTCAACATGTCAAGTTCAACTACATACATATCTTTACATTGTTTCTTACAGCTCACACACGTCGAATTGGTGACTTCCAACTCAATCCAAGAGTGGTTCTTTTCACAGATGGTAGACTAACAGACTTTATGGATTTAGATGCCACCGACAATGAGATTGATCTTACACCTTATGATCATGTAATCATTCTTACCAAGTTGTTTTTTTTTTTCTGACGGTTTCAATTTTGAGAAATTTGAATAAAAAAGGCGTTTTGAAGAGAAAATCATAAAAATAAAATATGAGATAAAATTTAAGAACTTGAAAGATAATTTTGTTTCTATATACACAGATATTAGCACCACTATCTTCGATCACACAGGAAATAGGAAGAGACCATCCAATTTTCTGTTTCCCAGTTGGAGAAAATCCGAACTACGTATGTCCTGCAATACCTTAAAATGTGAACGCTTCCTTTTGATGAATGATTTTAAAATTTATACATCACATGTCTACCCTTTATTCAGAGATTTTAATTTTTAACCCAGGGCAAGCTACTCACAAATAAGTTACTGTTAGGGGGTTTTCAACCTTTTGTTTGAAGTCAACATATCACAGTTTTTATGCTTGCTATAATGAACTCGTATTGAAAATTGTTCGATCGTATTATGACTGACAATTTCCTTACCAATTGTTAGGCCATTGTTTTTATATCAATTTGATTATGGACTACGACGTTTACATCATCACTAACAGCTGGCTCATGACAGGTACGACTGGTCGATAGATGTGGACATACGTTTACATCATCACTAACAGCTGACTCATGACAGGTGCGACTGGTCGACAGAGAATGCTTACTTCTCTATTGTACCTTATCACACTTTTGCTGTTTTCAGTTGTCCTGATTTTTTTTTACCATGTTCAGGATTCGTAGTTTTGAGGAATTTATGAGATTGATCAATATTCGTCATATTTCACCTATCACTCACTGGAGAAACTTTCCATATTCCGCATGTATTTTGATAGTATGTTATAGACAAATACATATGTTGGCATTTGTAAACTAAGAATATTAAGGAATATTTCAAAATGATGTAATTTATAAATCAATTTTACTTTTGAAAAGCACTTTTATCTCTGCTTCCATTGCGCACTATTTTGACGTGCAATATCATGGACTTGTTAGCCGACGGAAAAGCTAACAGTGATAAAAACCAATGATTTAGTTTAAAACATGTGATATAAGAATTCCCCATGATTTGTGACTGGATATGAATTTTATCCAACCGATTGTTTGTCCTATTTGAAAGAAATCATAATGAAAAATCCAAAAATAAACTTAGCTTAAAAACCAGAAGTCTCTGATGAGACTGCAGCTCTACTGGTTGTACTTATAAAGGAAGATAAAAGTAGCACTTGTACTTAAAACTTTGCAACAGCAATAAATAGAATAATGATTCTTGGTTTAGTCTGTTTTTGTGGCAAGATTTATTGCAATCAGAATAAAACTGTAGGAGGAGTAGCGTTTTAAAATAATTTTACAGAAATTTTGATTTAAGTTACCATGGCAACATCATTCAACAAAATCAAAAAGCAATAACAATTATGTATCTCAGTGTAGTCTACATGTATGCCAAGTTATACTGAAATCAGACAAAACATGTAGGAGGAGTAGCGTTTTGAAAGTATTTCAAAAAAATTATATTTTTAGTAACCGTGGCAACACCGTTCATCAGAATCAAAAACTGAATATACAGAATTATGTATATTAGTGTAGCCTACTTGTGTGTCAAGTTATACTAAAATCAGACCAAAACTGTAGGAGGAGTAGCATTTTGAAAGTATTTCAAGGAATTTTCTATTTTTAGTAACCATGGCAACACCGTTCATCGAAATCAAAAACGGATATACAGAATTATGTATCTTTGTGTAGTCTACTTGTGTGTCAAGTTATACTGAAATGAGATCAAAACTGTAGGAGGAGTAGCATTTTGAAAGTATTTCAAGGAAATTTCTATTTTTAGTAAACACGGCAACACCGTTCATCGAAATCAAAAACGGATACACAGAATTATGTATCTTAGTGTAGCCTACTTGTGTGCCAAGTTATATTGAAAAGATATCAAAACTGTAGGAGGTGTAGC